GAAGCGGTGTGAGCCTCATGGCTGCTCCCACCTGCAATGAATTTCCCTCTCCTGGTAGTGCCAGAGAACTGCAGGCTGCTCAGGCTGCCCTGGGAGTGGGGGCAGTATGGGCAGAAAGAGGAGGAAGGGGATTGGTGAGGTAATGCTCTGCACTGATGGTGACCAGGGGGGTCCAGCTCAAAGCAAAGTGTCCCATAAGGGCTGTGGCAAGGGCAGGAAGGTTTCTGATGTTTCCTTGAAGCTTGTATAATTGTTTTGAATGGTGACATCACCAGCTGGGGTGCTGCAGGCAGCCTGACCTGGTGACCAAGGGGCCGCCAGGAGTCAGAGAAAGCTGCTCTCCTGGTAGGGGTGATAGGATGATGCCACCTGACTGAAAGGTGGCACATTTTGAAGGATTCAGCAGGAAGTTTTTTGGTTTTCTCAAACTAACCAACCCAATATTCCTGTGCTTACTGGGCTAGGTAAAACTGCCACTAAACCACTTCTTTTAGAGAAGTATTTCAAGGAGAGAAAGTTCTGGTTGTTGCAATTGGGCATCTCCATGTCCTCCCCTTCAAAGAACAGCTTTAAGCTCAGGACCACCTGAAAGATTTAAAACAGAGGTTGCAGAATAGAGATGTGTCGGTATCTCATGTATGCTGTGATGTCTATCCCAGGCTATAGTGACTCATCCCTCATGAGGAATTGCTCTTAACCATTTCTCTCTCTTTTAATCTTATATCTTCAATATGCTGCAACAGATTAATCCCCTTTAATGTGAAATACACTATGCAAACATCAGGTATTATACTATTATCAGGTATAATAAGCCCTATATATGTTGTTTATAGATTACTCTAAAGGTGCTGGAAACTGTCCTATATTCCCCCTGAATAGATCATGCTGATTCTGCTTTAATACCATTTATGGTCTGCTTTAATTTTCAAAATGGAAGACCAACAGTTGAATCTACCACATAGCAAATACTACACCTTTTGGAAATGGTGGGACTACAAACAAGAGTCAGTGACTTTCCAGAGGAAATATCAGTCACTCAGTGGAAGGCACAATATGGCATGTTTGATTTTACAAGGGGTTGTACAAGCTATTTCTACTTCCTCATGCTATGCTTTGCTGTGATGGTTTGCTGTCTTCATCTCTAACATCCAGCTATGCAAGAGCACTTCAGCTTAGCAGGCAAGTGCATGACATATCACAAACAGGAAAGACAAACCGCAACTGGTAACAACATTTATGTGCACTAGTTCTATGAGTAAAAGGGGAGGGAGTTGTACTGAGCCTCGCACTCTTGTTTGGTGTGTGCAACCATAGTGTAAACTCTACTGGAAACCTTGTCAGTTTGCTGTGTTCCCATTCACCCATTTTCCAGGGCTTGTACTTTGTGACACTATTTATTCATTTATGAGAAATAGGCATGTGCTCCCAAGGCACCACACCTAGAAACTAATGCTCAGTTGCTGCCAGGACTTGGTGTACCTGTCCTGTGCATGTTTAGCATCCTTGCAGGAGCTAGGGCATGTCCAGGTCCCTGAGTACAGGTGGGCAGCTGTGTCTTGTCCACATCCTCATCACTGCTTGTCTTGGCAGGCTGTGGTTCACAGTAGATGCCTCAGACCGGCTTTCATCCCATGCACAGTGGTCCCTGTTGTTCTTAGTGCACCTGGGCTGAAAAAAATCCTGGTTGCTATTCGTGATGCTAAATTTCAGTGAAAAGAACAGCCACAAGCATAGGACAATCAAATCTGATCAAGGACTTCAATCTGTGGAAAAGCCATACGTAAGAATTATTCTGAAATGCCTTGACTATCTCTGAATATCACAAGCTCTCTATTTCGTTCCTCTTTAATTGTATTCAACAGCATTTTTCCAATGAAGAACTTCTATGGACTTTTTTCAAACCCACATGATAATGAAACAAAGTGCTCTGTGGCATGTGACATGTGCAAACCCTTGCTGTAACTGACAGGGGAGAGGGCTGGTAAGTCAAATCTTGTTTCCTGCAAACAGTAACAATTTATGAGGCCTGTGGAGACAGAGCTGATAAATAAAGAGCAGACCAATCCAAGCATGATGTGGGGATCAAGAACAGCACGTAACGAATTGTAAATGGGCTATATATAATTTATAGAAATTAGCATACAGTTACAGTTTTACAACTCTGAAAGTCTTGAGTTACACATCAGCTGTAACAGAGACACCTCTTTAAATCTTAATATATGCAAAATGACACTTGTTACCTTCAGGTTTTAAAAGAAAGTGTCCTTCCAGTACAATTAAGAAGCAATTCTTGTCTTCTTGCTGAACTAATTTATGCTTGTTACTCAAACAAAGAAACAGTTTTAAAGTAATGGAAGCTGTAGGTTTGTGATAGTGTAATTTTTATTGATAGTGCAGCAATTTTAATGAAAATGCATTAACTGATTATTAAGACTGTGTTCCAGCAATGTGAGAGAGATACTTAGCAAGAGTAAGTAGCAGCTTAATTAGGTCATATTATGCCAGAGGTTTATCAATTAATCTTTTTTGTAGTGTTAAAGTTATGTTTTCCTGTTCAGAGGAATTGTTCATAACACTTTTAAAAGTTAGCAACATCCACTTTTTACAGCAAGAAGATAGTCTCTGCTATAGTATTACCTCTTCAGACTTGAGCAACCAGCCAAAGTTTAGATCTGTTTCCTTTATGGAAAATAGTTAATGATGGAGTCAGAAATCTGTGAAGTATACCTCTGTATTTCCAAAAAAATGTTCAGATTCCTATTTCATTAATTCAGCTTAAGGACAGGACAGAGAACATTTTATTGTGACTTTTTGCTGGCATCTTTCTCCCATCATTGAGCCCAAAGGTTTGGATATTTATTCAATACCTTTGAAGTCTGTTTTGTGTACCCAGTATGAAAAGCTGTTACAGATTTCAGTGCCTTAAAGGGGCTTATAAAAAGGAGTGAGAAGGATATTTTATAAGGGCACGGTGCCACGACAAGAGGCAATGATTTTACAGTGAAAGAGGGTAGGTTTAGATTAGATGTTAGAAGAAATTCTTGCTGTGAAAGTGGTGAGTCTGGAACAGTCTGCCCAGAGAAGCTGTGGATGGCCCAACCATGGCAGTGTTCAAGGCCGGGTTGGACGGGGCTTTGAGGAACCTGATCCAGTGAGTTCCATCCCTACCCATAGCAGTGAGGCTGGAACTAAATCATCTTTAAGGTCCCTTCCAACTCAAGCCATTCTGTGATTCTATGATTTTCCTTGTGAAGATAAAAAACTGTGGTAAAAGCAAATCACTTTCTGTTCTTTAAGGGAAACAGCCCAGGAAAACCCTGGACGGCAGGGCTATGAGGAAATGTTTTCTGTCTTGGGTTCCTCTTCAGGTTTACCTTGCATGTATTTCAATCTTCCTTTGTAAAAGCAAATATGGGTCTTCATACTCCCTTAATTATCTCTTATAAAGCCAAAAAATATTTGTATAAAATGATGAACTGTAAACACTTAAGAAGTAGCTACTGCCTGCATGTTTTGGTCTGTATGATGCCTTACCTGTGCACATCTGAGTCAATAGGAACTGTAATTGTGTGCCTATAGCAGATTTCAGTTTTCAGTAGTTTAAAAGAAACTATGTCTTCTCATTTTGGTGAAGTTACTCATTGCGTGCATCTTCAAGACAGTCACCTGAAGTCTACAGAATGTCCTGAGGATGGTATTATGGTTAAAGAAAAAAAGCATTGAACTTCTTCATGTGAGACTTAAGGCTGAGGACTTCTACTGCAAGGAGAGTGGGGATGGTTCTTGCATCTCATGTTTCCAAGAATTAAATCCTCCAAAAGGATTCTGTTTTAACAGGGGACAGGAGGATAGGGTCGAAACAGGATATGCGGCACAGGCATCACTGAGAGAAATTGCTGTGACAGAAGGAGAAAATTTTTCTGATGTTCGGCACACTCCTAATTGCAAGATCTCACAACTATGCAGCAAGACTAGTTTGCCTAATGCAGTAAGAAAATTACTGTAGTGCTGACATGTGAGAGGGCTGTCCTCACACCTGACTTGAAATCCTTTCCTGATTATCCTAGCAGGAGTGGAATGGAATGGAACAGAATAGAATAGAATAGCATGTTGTCCAAATGCCTCTTAAGCACTCACAGGCCTGGGGTACCAACCACCTCTCTAGGAGGTCTGATCCAGGGTTTGATCACACTCTTGGTAAAGAAATGCTTCTATAATGTCCAGTCTAAACCTTCCGTGGGGGGAGGTTTGATCCATTCCCATGCACACTTTCACTGGATCCCAGGGAGAAGAGATCAGCTCTCCCTCTCTACTTCCCCTGCTCAGGAAGATGCAGAGAGCAGTAAAGTCACCCTTAGCCTTCTTTTCTCCAAACTAGACAAGCCCAGAGTGCTCAGTGGCTTCTCACAGGATATTTCTTCCAGCCCTTCACCAGCTTTGTTGCTGTTTTCTGGATGCATTCAGGGACCTTTCTATTGGATAACAGTCATGGTAATTGCTTATGAACTATTCATTAAGGAAAGTTACTGTATTTGATATTTATTAAATACCAGATGTTTGGATTTTGCTGTAAATTTTGCAGGAGTTTAATGATCTGTACAGAATTAGTGTGTTGGACAAGCAGTTGTGAGGAAAGTAAGTTCAAAGAAAACAGATCTGTTCTCTCACCTTATAGCAACAGATCACCTTTAGATAACTCACGTGGAGTTGTCCAAAAGTTGTTCCATGGATGTGGGCTCAGAAAGAAGATTGTGTCAAGCATTTTGAAACAATAAGTAATGAATGGTGCCATTGATGAAATAATCTGAAATTTTTCACCTGAGTTTGAGGTGTGCAATATATTATTTGGAATGTACGTTTCCGTAGACAATTAGCACATATATATATGGCCTTTGAATGAGTAGTGTGTCTGTGGGAGACTATTTATTTGGTCAAAAATCCTCATTTTTTGTCATTCTCAGATCTGTCTTTTGGGCAGAAGTCATTTGGGCAGAAGACAAATAAGCACAGCTACGGAATCTGAGCAGCTGGTCCATAGGCAGTGTGTGGAGGCCAGCAGGCTGTACAGCATAGGTGCAGAAGGAGTGTACAGGTTGGAAAGGTGAGATGAAGCTTCTTTTCTTTGTAAATGTGCTCAGCTGGCTGCTGGTAATTATACTTGCTCTTCCTGCTACCAGCAACACCACGTCCAGTGTCAGCCTAGAGTTAGCAAACTGTGTAGGGAGAACACAATGGATTTCTTAAAATACAGATAGCTTTTAAGTGTCTGTGAATAATAAAGGAGTCAACAATGCCTGCTTTCCCAAAGCACTTGAATCTGTAAATTAAGGTTTGCATAAGAGTGTGAGTATTATTATTTATTTAAGAGCTCTCACATTTCCCTTTGCATCTTCTCTTCCTCTTCCCCCATTACTTTTTTGTTGGGAAGATGCTATTTGCATTCATGAATATGTGTCCAAAGTGGGAGGCAATAGGAGGGTGTGGAATATAAGATTGGTTGTGAGAGTGAACAGGAGCAGGGAGGAGAGGGGTGTGGTGTGGGGGCAAGGTAAGGGAATAGACTATAAAAAGTGTAGGAAAGGTTAGCAAGACGGGAATAAGATTGGGTTTCTTTTGTGATTAAAAATTTCTGATTCTAAAACATTACCAGGTCTTTGTTTTGGGGATTTTTTTTTTTTTTAAACAGACATACCTTAAACCTCTTAGTTACACTTTCAACACAAACAATAAAAGTTTTGAACAGCTATGGTAAGAAAAGTTTTAAAAATTTGTCAGGGATTTAGTGGTCAAAGCAAGTGATATGATTCACACTTTTAGCATTCTGGCTGAAATCAAGTTCAGTCTACTGTTGGTGCTATTTTTTCACATGTGCCATGTTTTAGTGTGTGCCCTTTGCCTCTGGCCGTTCCTTCCCTGGGAGAGAGTTGGAAGTGCTTGGTGCCTGGCTGCAGGGCTGTGCAGATCCCTCTGCCCTGGACCCACAACCACCAGTGCCTGTACTGGAGGGTTCAGATGAGCAGTCTCTTACATGTCAGTAAATGCTGAGAATGGGTACCGGTGCATCTTAGTAGCAAAATATCAACTAAATAGGAAGTCAAACTAAGATACTTCAGAAAGAATAAAAACAGTTGTAATAAGTGACTTTGGTGGAAAACATACTTATCGTGGAAGATGTAAACAAAATAACCCCCTTAACTCATGTCCCAAGGACGCATTTGTACTGACAAAAACATTTGAGACATGGTAGTAATGAGAATAAACTCATTCTGTGGTGAAGAGGCTGCTCAATTATTATAAGATCAAACAAACACTTCTGTCTAAAATTGTTTGCCATATTATTCCCCCATAAAAACAGTCTTTCCTGTGTTGAAATATTTATTTTCCTTATTATGTCTTCTTTAAGCCCTTCCTGTAATTTTTCTCTTTGTGACTCCTGCACTTGTTTTATTTCGCCCTCCCATTCCTGGCACTGGCTCTTTTGAATGCTGTCTCTTTATGACTTTATTCATTACTCAGCTCTGGCAGTACATTGACTGTAACTCCATTAATTTCTTTGCATGTGAGATGAAATGCACAGTATAGTAACACAAATAACTGTTCTGGCTGTAATTCCTACTGAAATCAGCACTAGCCTCTCTCTTTAATGAGCAGGGCTTTGTGTTTTACATATCCATAAGGGGAAATGCTGATTTATACTCATGTTGTTCCCAAATGTAGACAACTAGACTTGTTCAAGGTTTCTGAAGGAGATAATATGGACAATGGTGTTTCCAAATGATGGAAACAATACCAATTCTCTTTGGTAAATAGCCATGTAGCTGTTTCCCAGATTCCCACCATCTTGAATGCACAGTAAGTGTTTAGCTGTGCATTCTTTGGATTTGTAGAACATTGAAAATGAAATTAAATTGTATGAAAGAGAGTTTCTCTCCTATGTTAGCTGAGAGCCATGCTCATGCATGCTGTGTTTTGAAGCTGTGCCAACTAAAAGAGCAAACCTCATAACGTAATATTGTTAGTAAATATGTATCCTGGGCTGCTCTGACACCTTGGTAGATGGATGGCCATTTCTTTTACTTTCCTTTGATTATTTTTGTTTTGGTTGAGTCTAAGGTGCGCTTGGTTTACTGTACTAGGGCCTGGGTCTTAGAGATGGATGGGGTTGATACTTGCACAACAAGCATCCTTTTTGTGGGGGAGATCTACAAGGGAGCTTGTAGCCCAGCTCTCTGCTATGTAGACATGTTTGTTGCCTGTGCTATAACTTCTTGCAACATATAACACTGACAGGACAGAGTTCACATCTCTCAGAATTTGCACATGCTTGGAATTTTTTTCTTATTCTGTGTTTGAGACATTTTCTGTGTTCGTACTTCCTGCTAAATTCTAGGCTCTCACAGGTACTGTTGCAAATAGCTGCAGAGTAATCCAACACCTTGTTAGATGAAATCAGGAGCCTTGAAATTTGCTTGCTTGCCTTATTTTACCAACTGTTTCCTATCCAAGAATATTTTTTTAAATTAGATCAGTTGCTCCTAAGTAATCTTTAAAGGGATAGAGTGTTTAGTTATTCTTTCTCAGCAGCAGCAGCATTTTTTGAATCTGTGCCAGATGCAAGAAAAGCACTCTGGACTATCACTCTGACTGCCCTGCTGTCCTGGGAAGGATTTCAGCCTCTTCTCCTTTGATTCTGAATGAAGGGAAGGCTTCTGGGACAAATAACACTCACCTTCATCCCTACTGTCTAGGTCCTTATGGAGGTTCCTCCAGAGTGACTCTGCAGAAGGTCCACCCTGGTCTTCCAAAGACAGATTGTAGGTTGCCTGCCTTTGTATAAGTGACTGTTTTTTCTTTCCTAAAGCTCTTTTTAGGAGTACAGTGGGTCTGATATAGAATTGTTCCCTTTCTAAAATGTTTACTTGGTCAGTGAGTAGGATTGTGCTTAGCAGATGGAATGAGCAGTGTTTGAATAAAAATGCTGTGGAAGACGTCATCACGCTTTGGTTGAGCCATGATGGGGTACTTGAAATGTACACCTCTCATACCTTCCCACTGGCAGAGCTGGGTTCCACAGTGACTCAGAAGAGAATAAGCCACAGCTCAGACAAATACAAGGATTCCCGGTTACAAAATCCACCTGATTTCCTACATATAGGGCATCAATTAAAACCTACTATTTTTAGGTGCAATGTTAAAGCACAGTTCTGTTAAGAAAACTTATCTTGTGAACTACAGAGGCAGACCTTGGGTCCATTTTCTATTGCTTATTTCCACTTTTGGACAGTTCTCCACTTCGCACAGAAGAAAAATCAGTTTCTTCTCCATCCTTTCCACCTCTGTGCAAACTGCAGGCAGGGAGGGCGAGGCAGGGCTGGTGCTTCCATGCTTGGACTACAAGATGAGCCCTGCCCAGAATGATGTAGGCAGTGGAGTCGACACCAGCAGAGTCACTGCAGATAGAGGAGGTGCTTGGTGGTTCCACTGCCATGATATGATGCTGCATGAGGGGCTGTGGAAGCTTTCAGGGTCACCTCTTATTAAACGTTTCTGATGCCGACACAGGAGAAGGGTGAGTTCTGACTCACTGCTCCAAAGGCTGGGACTGAAAGGTGCAAAAGCAAGAGTTTTATTTTACTGAGTTACTAAGTCACTAAGCTGCTGGGAGATATGACCATGTACAAGCAGACAAGGCAGATCTGCTGATTGGACAGATAGTTTACAGCTTATTTGCTCAGTATAAGTTGCCTGTTGAAACAGAAGAAATTCAAAAAATAATAAAGTACAGTGCCTAATGCAGCCCCCCCCACCCCCAGCTCTCCATTAATCTCATCAGTACGACAGGCAGCAATGCTGGTGACTGCTTTATCTGATCTATAATGCCACACTGTGTTTATTGAATAACATATCTACTTATCATCTAGTTGTCTTCATCACTGGTATTCTGAATGTGATTATCAAAAGTGTCCTTACATCTTTAAATCTCATTTGGAAGGAGAGCCACAGCCAAAATGCTAATGAGCTTGCCTTAATTGTAAACATTGAGCACCGATAAGAATGAAACTCCATCCTCTGTTCTAAGAAGTTCTTACGTGTTTCCTACTTACACTGCTTTTTATCTGATTCTCCTTCACTTCTGTTCTAAGGCAGATTAATAGGCACCTGAACAGACAAATAACAGTACTACATCTCCTTCACACCCTTTTGACAGACTTTTGAGATTGCAAAATATTTTTGGAAAATTATTATTGGAAAAAAGATTACTGAATGATCAGGCAGACAGCAATTTTTCAGGCTGGAACAAACAGTTTTCCAGCACTCACATGAACACATTTGTAACTTGTACTTAAATGCTGATGGGACATTTTTTAGAATGTGATAAGTGTGAAATAGCCTGTAGTTTTATCAGTGCTGGTTGCTGCCTACTCCTGCTAAAAAAAGTTTTATTGTGATCATTAAGTTGCAGGTAGGCAGTGCCTCTGGACTGTAAAATAGGAATGTTAGTGTGCAGTGATGAAAGCAAACTTTGCTCAACACCTGTCTATATATATTGCAGGTTTCAGTGGCTGCCCAGTTGATCCATTCACTCTGTTGTCTGGGAATAAAGACGTGGTAAGTAAGAACAACTGAGTTTTCTTCCTCTTTGAACTTGTTTAGCTTGCAAATATAAAGTTCTGCTTTTACAGCTTAAGGAATGGCAACAGAGAGCTAATGTGGGGAACTGTAGTGGCATATGAAATGTCATCCACTTGTTAGTGTTTTCACCTTTTCTTTCAACTGCATTTATGTTTCAAGGAAGTGATAAAAAATCGTTTTGAAAACAACCTGTGCTTTTTTTTTCTGCTAACAGCTAGATTTATTTTTATGGAAAATGATAAAGAAAAAAACCATTTTGTTAGCAGTTACCAATAAAAAAAAAAAAAAAAAACCAACAAAAAAACCCAACCAGAAATAACTGCCTATAGCAAAAGCAAATATTATTTTAACTACTATTTGGATTGAAAACAAGTGAAATTTTAAGTCACAGTAATCAGTGGTATTAGATACTGGAAAATGTCTAGGATATTATTAATGAAACATTGGAAGGGAATACAGTCAGTTTGTGTGTTAGCATAGATCTTGTGTAAAGTCTGTGTGCCTCACCACGGCTGGGTCAGGCTATTCTTGATGGAAACATTTTCTTATGCTAATTTGGTTTGATACACGGAGGTAAAAGGAATACATTAGTCTAATGTAGTTTGCTCAACTAATGTGGCAGTAGGCAGAAATCAGCTGGTTTCTCAGTAACTTTTATTATCAGCTCTTCCAATAGATCTGTAAGTGTTTTTAATGTCATTACTTTTTTCTCTCTCTATTCTTTACTACATGTTTTGTCTTTGGGAAGGGGTAGATCTGTTCTATTTCCTTGTTGGTGGGGTTATTAATTTTCTTGTTGTTTTATTCTGAAAAAGTAATTGTTTTATTTAAACACCTAGGAGGCATTTCAGGTAGTTCACTGATATTTCCTGGCTCTGGCTCCTCAGTGGTAGTTTCCAGTGTTTGTCTTGGTTGTGAACTCAAAAATTAATGTTTGGGGTTCTTTCTCTCTCTGCACTTCCTTAGAAATTAGTTCTCTTTGCTAGTTTGTTTTATGATTTTTTTTAGTTTTGCTATGTGTTAGATTCAGGCTTCTGAGCAATGAATTTCAGGAATCCATAGGGATAAACAGTGAGCACGGGGCTCTTTTTTTGTAGTTTTCACGTCTCTTCTTTCTTTTACTGCTACATGAGTTGAAAGTTTACATTCTGGCTAAGCCTGCTAACTTATTCAAAGAAAAAGCCCCGGGGAAGTGGCTGGTGCCAGAGAAGACAAGACTTGCTCCTAGTAAGGCTGAATCATTGAAGGTGTTTATTTAAGTTGTTACTGGTTCTGTTGCACCTGGGGCTTTGCGGCTGGCATGGAACAGGTTCTGGGGCAAAACTATCAGCTGATGTAAAACTACTGAATGAATTTCTGCTGGCTAAGGATCTTTCTTTTTCTATCTCTACATAATGTGCTTCTATGTTGGAATCACGCATTTTGAGGGGAAAAAGACAATATTTCTTCAAACTGTATACAAGAAAGGTTGCCATGTAGCTTGGTATTTACTCTTAGGAAGTATGAATGGTAAATATTCATATTTACTAAGTCATATAGTCGGATATCAGATTAGCTGATAAGTCCCTTTTTAACATAAAAACTGTAGCTTATGGTGAATGACAAGGAAGTGAGGTATTTTTGTAGAAAACTGAGAGAGAAGGAGGAGAGGGAGAGAGAGAAAATTGGGAAAGCTTGGCTGAACCCAAAACCTTATACGGAACTGCTTAAGCAATCCGTGGGTAGCTTAAGCAACATGTATGGTCACGCTGGTGGTTGTTGCAGTTATTACCAGTTAATTTTGAAAATACTGCTATTTTCTTCAGTACTTTTTATTTCATGTTGGTTTGACTGGGTCTGCTCCCCAGGACTGAGATTTCTTTAAGGCTTACTGCTTCTTAGCTGTTATTTCAGGCACAAGGTGGCCTTTCGGTGAGCTGTCATGGGTGGAGAGGTACGAACAATACCACCTGGGCACATGCAAGTGGTAGTTCATTCTCTCTGTGTTAAATCCGGAAAAACAAATACATCGACAACTGTTTCTGATTTAAATCTGCAAAGCACCAGGAGTGCAGCCCTGCAACAGAGGCAAAGCTGTTACAGCCCAGTGAGTCACTGAGGAATGCAATACAGGGCAACTGTGTGACACCTAGTGTTGCTCAGATAATTCCCCAGGGACTTTAACTCTTTGAAATGCTGCAGTGAGCGAGTCAGTATGGATATAAAAACCACAGGTGGCCACTTGGCTCTGACTTTTTCTCCCTTACATTTTATTTTAAAATCTGAATGCCTTTGATTATTTCCATCTATCTCTCTCTTAGGAGGGAGAAGGTTCAGTTTCTTTAGAAGTTAGAAAGGATGTCACACATAGTTAGCATTTCCCAAAAACAAGGAAAGACTATACTTACAACGAAAGAAGCACACACGATGGTGTGAGAAGATTTGCCACAAGGTTCACAGAAACGGACTGGATTACAGTTTGCACAGGCATTAGTTTTCAGGCCTTTGCAATATGCATAGCATATTGTGACCTGCCACTTTCGGGAGGAAATTAGCTCCTATTTCAGCACAGCTCCGAACAGATGGATATTCAAAGTGCTGATGCGAATCCGGATGTGAGCTCCATGACTTCACCCCGGGTGCAGGCGCCCTGGCTGGTGTCCTGCCAGCCAAGGAGGGAACCAGATGCACATCACTGAGACAACTGGGCTGGCACAGGGTTGGGCAGAGCTCATCACTCCAGCACCTCATCCAGCAATTGTGGCTATCCCGCCTTCAGACCTGGACCTGTGCGTCCAGCTGGACGCAGCGAGTTGTTGCAGTGTGTGCTGTCATTGGCCCGTTCTCTAACATGTTCCTTTGCAGCGTGGTTGTCTTTGGTGTTTGAAAGCAAACCACTATTAGGGTTTCCATTGTCATTTATATCTTGCATCAAGGATGTTGGTCTTTTACGCCGTGCCTGACGTCAGCCTTTCCAAAGGCACACTTGAGCTACCAGGGAGCAATGCAGTCAGCTTTGTCACCCTACTGCTCTGCAGCACACACATCTTCTGCTGAGTACTTTCTCAAGCTGTTAATGCTTGTATTTGGGCCAAGGAAGAATACTTTGAAAGGAAAACTGTAGAATGTAGATTATCCTTGTAGCACAGCGATTAATTAACAGTAAGTAGCTGTGAGCAGGACTCCAGCAAATAGTATCAGGTGTCTCTAAACTGTCTTCTCAGCTGTTCCTTTTAATAAGAGTCAGGATCTGGAGAAAGATGACAGCTTTGGTAGCACTTCAAGGATCTAGATGGTTTTGCTTTCATCACCCCTTGATACCACTTACACAGAACAAATGGGCTGTTCTAGTTAAACCTCTGCAAATGCAAATGCTTGAGGAAATGCTGTAGAGACCTCTGGTATTCCAGTCTACCTTCTCAAATCAGAGGTTGACTAGGGCTCGTATGAATAACTAGATACACACCTATACAAAACTTCCTCCACAGAGGCGATCAACTCTCATTCTATGGTATTTAATCACATAAAGCAAAACCCATAATAATATGTGACGTACCTGTGGGATCCTGAACACCTCAGGAAAATGGGAGATGCTTATGAAAAAATGATCTGCTGAATTCTTGAATGAGTTTATTGAGAAGACACAGGGCTGTTTGTCTGGTGAAGTTTTCAAGCTCCAGTTTCTTCAGTGAATGCATCAGTTCAGTTTCCATACAATAATCATGCAGGCTGAATCTTTCATTTCCATACTGAGTGTAACAGAAGAACTGTACAAGTACTGATGGCATCTCTAGGAATAGTGGTGTCCAGCATATTCTGTGTCTTCATGGTTGGAACATACTGCCAATGCAATTTCACCGACTTCCCAGTGCATTTTCATGATTGCATTTCACTTAAGAAGAACTTGTGCAGAGCAGTTATTTTTTTAATAGCTCTTTAAATGCTGAACACGTATAAATGAAACTCGTTTAACAAGATGGAGTTGTTCTGACGTGGGGTGGGGTTGGTGGTTGTTTTGGCCTGGGTGAAAATGCGAGAATTTGCTTCAAGCAAATGGAAACCCTTGTTGAAATAAGCAAGAGTGACTTTCATCTGTTCTAAGATCTTTGTGTATCTTGGGAGCTGCTGTGGTTCTTATACCACAAATAAAGAATGTGTGAAAGCATAGGTTTTGCTAATGGAATTGTACAATAACTTTTCTTGCTGATGTGGAAGGGGAGATACTCTTTTCTTTATGGAGTGCCAGCAAACAATACTCTTCTCTCTTCCAGTAAGACATGAGTGATTTCGTCTGTGACCTTTCCTTCCCAGGTAAAGGAAGAGGATGTGTGGCTTACTGATGTGGGCAGGGACAAAACGTTTTTACCATTAGCTACATAAAGGATTATGATTAAATGAATGATTAATTATACTCCCTCAGAGTGGCTGGTACTTGCAGCTGAACCTTGTTTACAAGAGCATGATACCAACTCTGACTTCTGGAGGCTGGGCACAGGGGCTTTGTTTATGAGGAGCGTAGGAAGCAAACTCGCTCTCTGGTGGTTCAGACGCGTGGGTGCCAGACGTGGTGGCTGTGGGGCAGCTTTGCCTGCAGCCCTGACCGACTCGTGTGGCAGAGAGGGTGGAAGAGGCAGACCTGAAGGTGAGGCTTTTCTGGATAGGGTTCTATCTTCTCCCATCCTTTCCACTGAGTTTCAGGATGTGCTGGCTGAGCTCACCAGCAAGCCTGGAAAGATAGAAGTATTGTATATACTGGCGTGTCTCTCCATGGTCACCTTCCCCCTCTTTCATGTTCTTCCCTCTGGCTTCCAACATTGGCGAAGTAAATAGGTAGGACTCTTCCAGGCTTTGCCTTCTCTTGTGCCTGGGCTAGAGTCTGCTACGGGTGCTTGCCCCGGTGCTGGCAGGATTTGGCCATGTGATGTCTTATTTTTAAACTTATTATTTATTAATATTGTGATGCATGTCAAATGTGTTCAAAAGGGATCAGGAAGGAAGAGGTTCAGAGAGAGACCCTACATGACTTGAGTGAGATGGACCTTGCTGTCACTAGCTCATCTTAATTTTCAGCATCAGCTGTGAGTTGCAGGCAAATATAGACCTGCAAATGGTCACTGGTCTCTCACTGTGCTCTTGTCCAGGTCTTCAGCAAGCATTCTTCTGGAGCTTGAAACCCTGGGCTCTTCCTCCACCTTGTCCAGGGTTCCCCTCTCTGTGCTTCCAGGGGAATGAAGCAGTAAAGGCAGCAAGAGTATTGTGTTCAGCTTGCATGACCCGAACTAAGTAGTGTTTAGGGAAGAACTTTTTTGCAAAGGTTGATGTGTTGAATTACCAGTTTGTTAAAGGCAGTTGCTTAAAAATGGTGGAAGAAAGTAAAACAGTTCTCTGACTTCTTCCTGAAAAGAGCTGAAATTAATTAAAGGGAAGAAGTGCCTACTATTCGGAAGCAGAGGAATCTTTGCTTTCATGACAGTTAAAAGTGTATAAAAACACAGATGTGAGATGGAAATAACTTTTTTAATTTTGTACAAAAATAAATAAACAGTGATTTAAAAAATAATTGAGAAATCAATTTCAGAAATAAAGGAATAATTCATAAAGATTAGTAAAAAGTTGTGTTCAAGGGTATATTGCTTATGTTTCATTTCCATCTCATTTGCTCTTAATGATATTTCCCACATACCCTGTTGTAAGTTGAATATAGACTGCAGACGCATTTTAATCAACACTACTTTATTAGTCACAGATCATGGCTCCCTGGCCTGAGGTGGAAAAGCCTGAAGCCAATAACTATATTGGGGACCCTTCCAAACAAAACCAGAACATGGCTGGGAAAGAAGGAGAAAACCACAAAGGTAACACGTGCTCACCAGTGAGTTATAGAGGTGTATAAGTTTTGGGGATCCTTGGAGAGGATGGAAAGTAATTAAACAATTTTTTACATGTTCTATTTCAGCAGGCAATGTGGCTTCACTTGGAAATAAAGGGGATATTCAACCTGCATTTTCCACAATAGCCTTGATAGATGAGCCAAGGCCAGAAGAAGAGGACCCATGGGCTCTGCCGGAACTGCAGGACACTGGGGTCAAGTGGTCAGGTAGCCATTTCTCCATAAAGAAATCACCTGCATTTTTTTCCCCACCACTTCTTTCACCTTCTCCGAGAGTTTATGGGGATCTTATTCTTAGTCAGTTAAGAAGAATCTGGAAATCATGCTGCTTACCTTCCTTAAAACACAAGGAGATATATGGAAAACAGTCCAGCACTAATATGGTTTTATATCCAGGTTCCTGTCAATCTTTCTTTACTCAGTAGGATGACCATAAAATAGTCAGTCTCAAATTTCGTAAGACTTTTGTCACATAACAGAAAGCGCTTTTTTTTGATAAAATTAAGTAAACAAAATACCTGCTTCTGCAGTCAAAATGTGATTAGGAACATTCTTTTGGGTTTAATCACACATTGAAGTCACAGCACTGTCTTTGTCTCCATAGTCTCTGCTTGTGTGCTAGAGTGTTCCAGAAAACATTTCAAGCAAGTCCTTTATGCATAATGTATTTATTTTGCAGAATTGGATAGAAAAGGAAAAATCATTCGTGTACTCTACGGGATAGGGAAGTTCATTATGCTACTTGGATTGCTCTACATGTTTGTGTGTTCTCTGGATGTTCTGAGCTCTGCTTTTCAACTGGTAGGAGGTATGAAAATGTCTAAAATATCAAGAATAAACTGAATAAGACAGGAAATTTCATCTGAGCAACTTAATTACAACTATCACTCTTCAAGAACATTCTTCATATGTGTTGGGATAGAGGTTCAGGAGTAGCTCTAACTGAAGACTGACCTTCATTCGTTTGGAAGGGCCCTTCTTTCTCAAATTCTTCCAAAGAGCTGTTCATTTAGCAGTTATTGGCCCTGATTTCTTAGCAGTTTTCTGTTACTTTAGTGACAGTTTACATGGATACATCTGTGCATAAATCTGTCACATGTGAAAGACATTTCAACAAGTTGAAATATGAAAACTGTGCTCCTGACCAAAGCATCCAGCACTGGAATATCCCTCAAAACCATCAAAGATGAAAACTATTGAAATGCATATTTTACATTTGCCAGTCTTCAAGGGTTGAATTCAGATGAGGGATTCAGGAGTGGTTACCAGAGAAACAAATGAGTTTCTGTGGAAGTATTTTGGATTTTTGGATTTTTGGAAACACAGAAAGCTACAGGGACAGAATTAATCAGTATTATGAAAATAGTTTTCCTTGATGGAGTAATCAAAAATACCAAGTAATATCATTTAAATCTATGCATCTGTGGTTTTTTGTCCTTCAGTCTTTCTTCTGATGGCAGTGGTTTTGCATGGTTCTCTGCAGAGTCCAGTAAAGCTTGTTTAGTCACTGAAAGAAGAGAATATAAAGTATTCTTTAACAACTGAGAAGCCGAGAGTTCAGGACCTGAATTTGGATCCCTGGGCTGCATGCATGGCTCTATATGTATCAATTAGATGGATTGAATGATCTTTAATTAAACACTCTGATAATTTCTGTAGACTTTACTTCACACTTCCCTCACTCTGAGAATATATCTTCTTGCAGGTAAAGCAGCAGGGGACATATTTAAAGATGATTCAGTGCTGTCTAATCCTGTTGCGGGACTGGTGATTGGAGTTCTGGTGACTGTTATGGTGCAGAGCTCCAGTACTTCCTCATCCATCATAGTCAGCATGGTGTCCTCCACCCGTAAGTCTGCTTTCAGCATCTTCCTACAGATCACTCATAAATCTTGGCCGCAGTGCCAACATTCCCACCTGTATTCAAGTTGTGGAAGCTTTGGGTGTAAGAATAGAGACTGCAGGAAAAGCTTTTCGCAGCTGTTGCCTTGATGTAAATAAAATTTTAAAAATTAATAATGATAGCATTAATAGTAGTAGCAATACTAATAGTACTAGTAATAATAGTAAGACCACAGCTGCCATGAAAATCACTGGAAGCCTTGGCACTGAATGCCTTTATTTTAAAATTATCTGCATAATTTTTTAATGTTAGGCAGTTACTGAACTCCATCTGTTTCTGTGGCATCATTTCAAAATTCTGTAGTAAGTAGGCAAATGTCTGGGAAAGAAGAGACTTTATCTCACTCTGGCCCTCTAATATGTGGTGAAAAGGGATAACCATGGGCTGCCTTTTCAGTTGGGATTATGGGAGTGTCGTGTTCCCAGGGGACTTGATTAAAGCAAACATTTGGATCACAACATCAAATGCCAGTGACCTCAAGGGAAGTCACAGTTTCAGTGACGTTAATAGAAATTTTCATTGGAGCATAGACCTTGCTGATGATCTGATCTTCTCATTTAATGTTTCCTTTTCTGCTTTCCAGTGCTAACTGTTCGAGCAGCTATTCCGATCATCATGGGGGCAAACATTGGCACCTCAGTTACAAACACGATTGTGGCACTCATGCAAGCTGGCGACAGGAATGAATTTAGAAGGTATTGCACTTAAACACTTCATCTGAAAAGTTGTTTCTTCCTTCTTTGTAGGTTTTCTTCTATTTTCCCTATCACTACTACAGCCATTCAACCTTTCTAGTTAGGAAAGTCACAAGCATGTCCATGGCAAAGGTATAATGCTGCCTATATATGTGGCTTCATACACTTGAAGAAAAGCATATTGCGTTCTTTTAAAAGTTTTGTGGTTTCGTAAGAATCCACCATTTTTAATGATCTTGCACAAGGATAAATTTTCAACTGCTCCCTCTCTGCCACACATTTTTTATTATGTCCTAGTTATTGGAGGGCTGTAAAAGAAGTTAATTTTACATTATTTTGGTCAAGTCTCCTTAAAAGAGATTTCAATATTGAAGGTTTTTTAAGTCTACAGTAAGCAAGACCTGGTAACTGTAGAGAAATTATGTGTCCCGGCTGTCAAATACATAAAGTGACAGCTTTTAGACTACTACTTGACATTGCCACTGAGAGAGCTCATGACTTACTGGAGATGAGCAGGAAACTTGGTAGGGATATGAGATTTTGGTACCTTGTCATCTATGGCATACTGGGTATATGAAATACTCTTCGCCAAAGTCTCCGAGGGGAGCGCTGTGGCTCCTCAGGCTTTGGAGGAGAAGATGGGAGGGAGCTGTACACCAATGGTTTTCAGGAACATATGAGAGGGCTGCAAAGCTCTCTTACCCCAGGAGTCAGGGAGAACAGGTCCCAGAGGAAATGACTGGCCAAGGAATGTGCCAAAAATGGGTGAGAGACAAACAAATGTAGGCTCTACAGCCTCTTCTTTTTTCAGACAAGTACTCTTGGCAGCCTTGTGTTCAGGATCACTTTTGCCTTTTCTAGTTTTTCTTGTTTTACTCACCAGGCTGGCTCTTTAATTGATCAAACAGTGTGGAGACAACTTAGTGCTCCATAGCCAAGTAGCCATCTCCGGTGACCCTGGCAATGAGATGATTCCCACCTTGAAATGGACTTCATTCCCACTTCTGTGATTTCATATCTAACTGATGTTGTACCCATTTTGTTTAATTAAAAGCAATTCTGTTTTTTAATTTCTTTTTGCAGGGCCTTTGCTGGGGCAACAATCCACGATTTCTTTAACTGGCTTGCTGTCTTTGCACTGTTGCCCATTGAAGTTGTTTCTGGCTATCTTTACCATCTCACCAATGTTATAGTTGAGTCCTTTCATCTTGAAAGTGGTGAGGATGCCCCTGAGTTACTAAAAGTTATCACAGACCCCTTTACAAAGCTCATCATTGAGGTAAGCTCTTTCTCACTTCAAGGAAGCTGCTTACCTGGCTCAGTCACAGCCAATCAAAATGCTCTGAATATGAGAAGGGTTCCCACTTCTTTCTCTGTGTCCTTCACTTAAAGCTCCTTAGCAGATGAATTCTTCTTTTTATTCACATTTCATAAAGCCTCAGCTTTATAGTTCCTATTTCTATTTCCCCCACATTTCACCTTAATGATGACAGACCTAGCTAGGAGGAATAAGAAGGCAGGTGAGGACAAATAAAGCCATGTGAGATGGATGGGAAGGCAGCTTATTGCCTAGACATTGGCAGATAGTACTAGCTGAGACACCTGGCACAGCCAGAAAATCAGTGTAGGACCTGACATAATCGCATGCATCTAGAGGCTGGGGAGCAATGAACGCATCATCTAAAATGGCAGTAAATACAGTTAGGCAGTTGATTAAACAGAAAGGATGAGATGAGGTGGTGGATGATTTGGGGAGAATGAGACACAGTATTTGTGCGTGTAGAGTTGTGCCTTTTTCTCAGAGTAAACCCCCTCCTACCTGTCGGGCAGCCCCAGCATTAGAGATGATCGTGCAGGCTTTACATGGTTGGGATTCCAAAGGGGGTTGTTTGAGTAGAGCTGAGGAAGAAGAACTTTATGATGCAAGTTAGAATAATGCATTTTTAAAATTCTTCTTTTTTTTTTTTTTTTTTTTTAAAGCTTGATAAATCAGTAATAAATGCAATTGCTACTAACGATGAATCAGCAAAAAACAAAAGCCTGGTAAAGGTCTGGTGTGTCACTGAAACCAATGTGGTAAGTATCATGCTAAATTAATTGTCAGGTACCTCAGGAAGTATGCTGCTGATCTGTAGCTGACAATCCTTATAAGATTGTGAACTTAGATTTTTAAATGATAGGGTTTTTTTCAGCAGAAAAAGAATGAAAACAATTTAATGTAGTTTTTGCTCCACTTAAATCAAGGATGTTCACCAGTGGTGACCTTGACCTGGCTACATTTGGTACCATGCAGGCCCTTGCTTATCAGTACTGCTGGTTTGGAGCCAAGTCTTTCATTCCTTTCACACACACTAATGTCTTTAAATTGTGATACTACTGACTTCCTGGAAGTGGAAAAAATCTGCATTATAGGCCAAAGAAAAGATCTTTTTGACCACCATTTATCTACTGAGCTAATAAGTTTTAGTTTTACGTATATTAGGGTGATCTAGTGGTAGCTGGTTATTTGCAGCTTTCTTGGAAAACTGCCCTTGGAGAAAGCCTCTGTAGGGCTGTGCCCTGTTGTTCTTCACCCAGAACAGCATTGCAGCTTGGAGGAATCTCTTACCCAGATCAACACCAATGAGTATTTGATAAACTGTGGAGCTGTTTTACGTTATTCAGCTAACTAGAAATTAGAGTGTTAAATATCCTTTTCTTCTCTAGTAAATGTATTGTACTTGTTATCATGTATAGAAAAGTAATTCCTGAAGTCCTGAGGCAGGAGATACTTAAGGAGACAGAGTGGAGGTTGAAATTAAGTGCCCGGCTCCTATTGAATGACAGTCTGGATGGCCAGTGAAATGCTAGCTAGGGAGATAGTGCCAGGAGCAGAGCTGTGCCCATCTGAAACTCTGCTCAGGTTACGCTACTGAGTATCTGGGTGTTTCACCTCAGGGGGGAAAGAGGGCTTGGGCAGCTGCCCTGCTGACAGACCCCAGCCCGTGCTGAGCCAGCAAGTCCTACAGAAGACAAGAAACTACAGTACATAGAAAGTGTAGGCTGAAGGAAATGTATATTTCTATATAGATGGTTTTATATTGTGTTTGTCTGTATTTTGGCTGTATACCTACTGCTCATAGTCAAACTACAAAAATACATGAACCCCCTAACAGTTTGACTTGAACCTGGTGGGGTAAACATGTTTAAAGCAAAACATAAACATTTTGATCTAATGCATCTGCTTTGAAACTCAGATGTTTGAAAAAAAAATCAGAAAGGTGAGAAAAAAGGTTGTGCTGTGTTTGTAAAGGCTGACATGATGGGGAGGCTGGAGCCCAGGTCCTCCCTGGAGATGTGGGAGCACTGGATCCACTCCCATCTTTGCCCACCAGCATCAGCTGGAAAGTGTTGTGAATGCAAGTGTCTGTAAGCAGTACCCAGCAATGATTCCTCATTCTCCATTTCTGCAAAACACAATCACTCAAACATGTTTGAAAGATACCTCCAGTTCAGCATCATAGTTCAGAGTCCATTTGGCTGTTAACTGCTCTTCTGTGGAACTACAGCTCTGTGAACTTAGTCTGCATAAGAACTTAAGGACTTGGTGTTAGAATGCAGAATGTCTGGGCTAGGAGTCCTTATAAGGAATGTTTTAATGTGATATAAATAGAAATTTAGGTTCAACTCCATAATAATAGTGCAAATCAGAATGCTTGTAATTAGGTCTTAGCATTTGAACATTAAAAGGAAAAGAGGAGCAGCACTTCTGCTTCTACAGACAGGGAAAATGAGGCACAGGAAGGCAGCGCAAGCAGCTTGTGCTCATCCAGCAACAAAGGCTGCACTAGTATTGTAGCATTCTGAATCACAGCACTGGTGTAGTACTCACCAGACCATTAACTGCTCTTGAGATGACAGAAAAGAGGTCTTTCTTTGACCAAGGAAGCTGTGGTGCTACCTGGAAAAGGAATGTCACTGTCTTGCAACTGCAGCCTTATATGAACCTCAGTCCACTAACTATCATCAGTAGTTAAGATTCTTAGCTATTAATGACTTGGTGCTATGGTTGTTACAATGTAGAAGATTTTGGAGATATTTTAATCTTTAAATGTTGTACTGATTGAGTTGGGTAATAGCACAATAATTTATTTTAAGAATGCAAAGTTTCACCTTGTCATTAGTATGGTGCCAGCTTACATATCTGCCCTTAGTGGATGAATCCTTGGTTGCAGTAAAAATCTAACACTTTATATGAGCTCCTAAAAAAGGGTTGTAGATGACTGAACTATCTGCTCTGTCTGGTAATCTTTAGACACTGCAGAATGTCACAGTTCCACTTCCAGACAACTGCACATCTCCTGACTTTTGCTGGACTGACGGAAACATGACATGGACCCTGAAGAATGTAACTGAAATAGATTATATCACTAAATGTAAGTCATAGAATTCTTTCTTCTATGGCAATATCTTCACTGATGTACATAGCTTTTTGATGGTGTTAACAGAGCACTTCAGAGGCGTATCAGGAAGCCCTTGCCTGCGTACGGACACGTGGTAGTGGTGCAGGTGCCGTGTGAGGAGCCTGTGCTCTGTTATAGCTACGCAGCTGGAGTTACCAGCATCATCATGGTATCTGGCTGCAGATGGATCTCTTTCCATGCTCCCTGATATCAGTAATTGAGGTCTTCAGTATCATGTCACCCTCGCTGTTCAGATGGCTTGGAGCTACGGTTACTTTGTTGTTGTAATGGTTGCTTGGATATCTCCATCCCTATGCATGCCCTGCAGGAGTTTCGATGGCCCTTCTCAGGCACGCAGCCACCTCTGGGAAAACCTGACCCGCCATCCAGCTTGGAGCACCCCAAAACTTCCATCTGCCATTGTACTTCTCTGCCTTGTACATGGTCACCCAGCCCCTGCCTGCCCCGTAGGGGTGCTTGCTGTGTGTTTTATAAGCATGTCCATACAAGAGCTTCTCCTGCCCTTCTCAGACGTGGCCTTTGTGGAGCAAGGGAGGTGGTATTTTCCCTCTTTGCATCAAGCCCTCAAGCTGTGTGTGCTTTGGTCCCATTTTCCAAGTGACATATATGAAAACCAGAGCTGCGCTTAGTTAGGATCACAAGCAAAAATGTGGCTAGGCTAATTAATTTTCCATTTCTTTTTCAGGCCAGCATCTCTTTGCGAACTCAGACCTGCCTGATCTTGCCATCGGTCTTATCCTTCTGGCTTTGTCCCTGCTTGTTCTGTGCTCCTGTTTGATAATGATCGTTAAGCTATTAAACTCTGTGCTTAAAGGACAAGTGGCAAGTGTTATCAAGAAGACAATCAACACTGGTAATTATCTGCTTTTCCTGAGGATTGTTTTCAGGAATGACAAGGACACTGAACACATTTATTGGTATCTCCTGTTCTGGTAGATAACATAAAATAGTTTAAAGAAAATAGTATTGAATGAAAATCATCCCAACCCCCCCAACATTTTTTCTCCCAAACATATTTTTTTCTTTCTTTAAGAAATCTAATAGTGAATGGCTTGATTGAGAAATGCAGCAGATTAACAGCATCAGAGGTCAAAGTCCAGGCTCTGTTTCTTGATGTATAATCATTAGCTGTTAGAAATTTAATGTTCCCATCCTCAAAAGATAGCACTGAAGTGCTGAGATTGTGATTGCCTGTTCTGGCACAGAGCCTCCATGTTCCTTCCAAAGTAAGTTGACAAAAGTTTATAGTAATTAATGATCTTGTCCTATTCCATTGCCTAACCCTCTCTTCAGTAGGATAAGGCAGCTTTCAGTAGCAATATTTTCTGTCTTGCCCTGTGCTCTCCAGTTTTTTTTTCAGTTTGGATCCACTGAGTGCAAACGGAGGTTTTTTTTGCTTGGCTGCTTTTCTTGCGTACTCTCTTGAATGCAGAGATTAGAACCTGTAGCAGAGAAAAGCAGTCCTGGCATGGGTCCCAGGCTGTGGTTGAGGAGAGGTTTCACAGAAATGGGGAAGGCAGTAAAATGGTCCCCAAGCTCTCTTCTCCTGAGCAAAGAACATGGCCCGAATTAAAAACAAAGGGGAGAAAGTAAACAGCTGCCAGTTACTGTTTATTTAATTTCTGAGCTGCTCTGTGCTCCTCTATGTCTTCCCAACTGATTAAGTTCTGCAGACTGCAGGGGATCATTGTGCCTAGTTTTTCTAATCAGTGTGTTTAGTTTTCTTAGCAAGAGTTAACAAGTACATTTTTAGGAGATCATCTGCTTGAAACTAGTTAGAACAAACCACTTGATTTTCTCAGGATGCTCCTCAGAGCTTTCTGAAGATCTGATTCATGCAGCAGGTGCCTGATTGCTGAAACCAAGGCTCACAAGACACCTAGACTGTTTTGTGTTGACCTCTGTGAAAACATTTCTGGTGCCTAATTGCATTAGAACATACATGCTACCCTTGGTTAGGACAAATGTCTACCTAGTCTAGTACACATCTCAAAGTGTATCCAGTGGTGGAAGGCTGGAGAAGGAGTGCAACTGACAGGATAAATCAGAGTAGCAGGACTGATTCTGCCCCAAATTGTCATTAAGAGAAAATAGGCAAAAAATATATTTATATTTTGAGTGCTTAATAGTCTTCCCTGTTGTGTTACTGTTACATAGAGCATTCTGTTTTGCTAACAAAAGTGTTCTCCCTCTATCCTTTTAGATTTCCCATTTCCTTTTACTTGGCTAGCTGGATACCTGGCTATGCTTGCAGGGGCTGGTATGACCTTCATTGTCCAAAGTAGTTCTGTTTTCACATCTGCTATTACACCCCTTGTTGGTAAGTTGTCAATACTGTGTTCTATATCCCCATGTTTTATCCTCTCCGTCATCCTGGAACCAACTCAGTCCTGCTTCTTTTCCCGTAGGCATTGGCGTTATCAGCATTGAGCGCTCTTACCCCCTTACCTTAGGAGCCAACATTGGCACAACCACAACAGCTATACTTGCGGCTTTAGCGAGTCCGGGGAGTACATTAAAATATTCACTACAGGTCAGTATAAAACAATGCTTCCTTCACTTCATTTAGAAGCTGCAACCTTTCTGAAGGAAAGCCTGACAAAATTTGATCTGATACAAATATGCCGTGGATGTCATGCCTGATTTTGTGTGTGCTGATGATGGCAGCTCATCCATTTCAGCTGCTAGAGCAAAAAGGTTATTAAACATTCCCAGAATGTCGATATACAGTTAAATCTTACTTTCATAAATTGGCTTGATCTGAGTGAATTAATTCAGAACTGAGACAGGGTAGGCCATTTGACCCCTGATCATGGGGTCTCTGCAGCTTGGAATTCAGTGCCCATATATCTGACAACCCTCTGAGGGTTACTGATTTCTGTAAGCTCTCTTCTCAGGACCCTAAGTTCATGCAGCATGCAGGGACTCCTGTAACCTTACTGAAGGCTGCACAACCATTAAACTGGCAAGCTCTCTGTCTATCTATGGTTGCAATGAGCATCATGTATTTTTCTAATTGTAAATGTAATCTCAGTGGATTTTGTTGAATTTCTTGTTGCCTCAAACTATTTGAAAAATAGGCAGCCTGGCTTTGGCCTCCCATTTTCCACCTGGTAAAGAACCTGGCAGCAGATCACATTTGAATGAACATTTTACATCAAAGAGGGAAAAGATAATGACGTTTCCTTTATGAATAAGATGAATGTTTTCTACTAGCCCAAATAAATCAAGAAAATTACAGAAGCCATTTTATTGTCCTCAGGCATGATAGAGCAGATGTAATCATGAGAAGATGCTATCTTGATAAAGCTCAGATTTCATGATAACATGCTGGTTTTATAATGCACTTTAAAAATAAACTTCTGTACTTTCATATTTACTTTGGTCTGATAACAGTTGCAGAATGAAGATAAGGTGAGAAAGGAATGTACTGTTTTGTTCAGTATATGCTTATTCTGTCTAAGCAATTTCTGAGAGCTTTAGCAAGAGGATGTCTCTTGATGCTTACTTTTTAAAAAAACAATTTTGAAGTATGTGAATCAAATTATTGTAATGACCCAGACAAAGTCCTATTCCAGGAGTCTCCTCAGTGTCTTGTAAACTTATAGCTAATTTTTGTAAAATCCAAGTCTGGATCACTACAAATTTTAAATAGCCTGTGTGTAATATCTAATTTACCGTTCCCATATTTTGATTAAAAATTATGGATGCAAAACCCAACAATGAATAATTCTCACATGGTTACCATGCCTTGCTAAAAACAGAATTGTTTGCTGAGACCTGTTTGGTATTTCAGCTTTGTTTCTGATGAACTCCATCAGCTGCATTTTAAGACTTCTCCATCTGCAGGGGGATCCAACATCTGCTCTAGCCTTGGCTTGTGTCCAAATACGTTCCCTGTTTGTAGGTAGTGATCTTTGCAATGTGTGAGGCCTTACTGAGTCCTTGTTTTGTGCTAGGAAAGGTCCTGCAGTGAAATAGCAGGAAAGACAAGAAACAACAGTGGGGAGAAAGGAGGGGGAAACTATGGAGTCTGAGTGCCACTGGAACTTATTAAAATGTCAGCAGGAGCATTTTAAAGGCCTTTTAGCTAATGAATTTCTCAAATGTTTTTGCTTTCAGATTGCCTTGTGCCACTTTTTCTTCAATGTCTCTGGGATTATTCTGTTTTACCCGTTACCTTTTACCCGGCTGCCAATACGCATGTGCAAGACTTTGGGAAACATAACAGCCCAGTACAGATGGTTTGCTATATTTTATCTTCTCGTCTGCTTCTTTCTTCTGCCTTTGTTTGTATTTGGTCTGTCACTGGCAGGGTGGCCAGTCCTTTTGGGTGTTTGCCTTCCCCTATTTCTTCTTTTTATTGCTGTGGTTGTAATTAACGTTATGCAGAAAAGGCGACCTGAAAAACTGCCTGAAAAGCTCCAAAACTGGGATTTCCTACCTATCTGGATGCACTCCCTAGAGCCCTGGGACAATATGCTTATGTCTTCACTCGCCTTCTGTGGGAAACACTGCTGTGGCTTCTGTAAGTGTTGCAAAATCAATGTCGAAGGGGAAGGTGCCAAAGACAAGCAACTAAAAACTACAGAGGTTTATGAAAACACCATGGCAATGGCTGATGAAGAAAGAGGTGGAAGAAGAGCACCAGCTGCAGCTTCTGTTGACAAAACAGGCACAAACAACACAGCCTTATAGTAGCGGATCAACCCATATTAGCAGAAATACAGCATAGGACAGTCAGGCTCTTCAAAACCACCTTGGACTATGCACTGAGGACAGAGTGAACATTTTGTTAGGTTTCTGAAACCAGTGATACATCACTCATCAAGGAATGGAGTCAAACAAGCTTGACAGAGTCCCTAGAAAATCTGTGCTCGGTTGCAAAGCTAATGACAGATTTGCTCACAGAGGATCTACTATGCGGTACCTTCCTGCAATGCTATCAGTAGCAAACAAAAGAAATCCTGATGTAGTCCCATGAAGAGAGAGATGAAAGGAGTGGCAATCAATTCAAACTTAAAAAACAAACAAACACTGCACTTGTAGAACAGCCTATCTAACCTACTGACTTATTCAGCAGAAGTTATTTTGTAATACCTAAAAAGCTCTGGAAATTTAAAAAAAAAAAAAAAAGGAAAAAAAGATAAATAAAAAGGGGAATCCTAATGTTTTCATTGCCCTATTTGCAGTGGTCAAAATGGAAAAGAGTGGTTTTCCTACAGTGGACAAAATCTATTCTACATGTGTGAAGGAAAATGAAATGCTGAGATATCCTTCAGAAGCTCTTGGAATCCTGGTCTGGCTTAAGGGTTTGCATAAGACCATTTGAAGTCCTCTGTATCTCCTTTAACACTGTAAACACAGAAGTTATAATCTTTTGTTATCTCAAGCTGAAGACCATGAAAGTAATTGCTGCTCCCCCTGTACTGTGCTTGGAAGCATCGGGTGGCTACCAAAGGTCTTGACTGACTCAGGATGTGGTTGTGTTGCCATTCCTTCCTCTAGATGGTCCTCTTCAATCCTGTTCACCATGTCATTCCACAACCAGAGGAATGGTGCAGAAGGAAGGACAAGTAACCAGTGTAGGGGAGGAGACAGCTGCCCCAGCCTGGGCTGATGCCAGATGTGTGTTCAGCTGTGGCTCCGTTTGCCTGAGCCACAAAATGAGTTTTCAGAGTAGTGGTGAAGATTGGCTTTAGAGTTACAGCAGAGGGAACATGCAGAGCAGATTATGGCTAGCACAGGACATATGGTAATGTTTACTGGAGAGAAAGGGATGTTCACCATCCCTTTGTGCTCTGAACCACCCTCCTTGGAAATAATGTGAATTTTACTAGCAGTTGTATGTAGCAATCCAAATCCCAAATGAAATCCATAACTGATGTTGTCACTATCATGTGTAGCAAATCCACAGGTAGAGTAATACTTGGTAGGAAGCCGCTTATGCTCAAATTTTACTATTAGTGATGTTTTAGTAATGCTTGTGAGGTTGTTCTGAATCACGGGCTGACAAGGCATAATTTCAACATCAGAAAAAGAGCATTTCCAAGATGCACAGAGTACTTCTACTGACTTTCAATTGCTCCCATATTGGTGAGTATGGGACGAGAACTGAAGTCCAATCACTAATGTCAAAAAAAAATAGGTGATTCAGTGTAGGCCAAGTGTCATTTAAAGCCAGTTTAAGTGGCTAAGTTTTAAATGAAATCTGTAATGGAAACACTGAGAAGACCCTTAGTGTAACATAGCCACTCAGTGCTGCTAGAACATATTTACTTCTGAACAGCTGTTTTCTGCAGAGCTTGGAATTCAGTAGGTTGAATTTGGCTATTAGGTAAATACATACGTTTTAGAAGTGAAAATGGTTTTCATTTACTTTTTTAAACTGACATTCAAACTAGTAAACTATGTTGCCGAAAATGTGTTCACAAACTGCATCCACACTGAGATTCCAACTGTTTCAGTAATTGTGGACCAGTGACAAAATGCTTAGAATTTGAGTGAATTTCCAAAAGATATAGTTTTGGTATAGTTCTGCTCTTTTGGATGTCAGACTATTCTTTCCAAAGTTATTTTCCTTGTTGTTCATGTAGCTGAAAAGAATTTTGTCAACATCTTATTTTTAAAGTTGAATTTTGATATCTTCAGTAATTCTTCATTTTATTCTCACAAATCTGGATGCTTTTAGAGTCTGTTTCTTTAAATCCCTGTGTGCATTTCCCACGCCTTTTTTCTTTGGGAAAAATATGAGAAAAATAATCAGAATTCTTTTCAAGTTTTCTCAAGTTTCCATTGACCACCCACTGAAAGAGGAAACATTTTAGTCTACTTTTACTCATTTCCTAAACAACATGCACCTTATTTTGCAACTTGAAGTATAGCCATGAACAGTGATAATAACTGTGGGAAAGCGATTCTTACAAAAGAATCAGGGTAATAATTGTCAGACATATCAGGACTTTATGCTTCCTCATTGTAACATTTCCCCTATGATCTCTTCTTGCTCCAAGCCATATTGTGCCGTTGTGTTAAGCAGATTCCAACGAATAAATCTGTTTTTCACTTGACAGTACATTATGTCTTGGCATATTTCCCCCCTTACTCTTACTAAAAGATATTTACACTTTATTTATAATTGTTTGAGTGTACAGAATTTTTCATAAGTTATAGAGAAAAAGGCTCGTGATTGTGTTATATATTACATATTTGAAAACTATGCAATGTTTATCTATAAAAAATGTAAAAAGGAACTACTGTATATTTTGTAATATAAGTTTTCAAATTGTTTGTAACTGTGTATACTGCATATTATGGAGGCTGTTGGCTCCATCAGCAGGTTACTTAAAGATTGTTAGCAATGCAGAGACAGATTTCTTAAAGTAAAGGTGTAAAACAACTACATACTTTCATAATATGGCTTGGCTTAATGCAGAAGGATATTGAACTCTACTTTTCTAGAAGATGTGACGTTTCTGTAATGAGAAATTTTGGAAATACAATGTTTCTAAAATACTTTTTTAAACTCTCAAACGCTATCTTTTATTTGTTTTGAGGACAGGATATAACTTTATACTTTGTCATGAATATTCGTCTTGTCTGTCCTCATGCATTGAATGTAAAAATAAAGAGAAGTTTTAAAAAAATAAGATCTTTTCATAATATGCTTATATACATCTCATGGAAGCTTACAGAAAAATAAGTATGCAGGTAAGTTCTAGCCTAAGTTAATGCAATGTATAAGAAATGAGGTTTATCATCAAGCACTAAAGAAAAGCACCTGTGTGTCCAATAATTTCATATGAATGAGAGAATTTCATATGAAGAAAAATAATCAGAATTGCTCAGTGCAGTTGTGTGTGTCAAGATATTTTCTGCCAGATTGCTGCAGACTGTCCTCAGTGAACGCAAGCATGGGAGAACCAAGCCAGTGCTATTATGGCAACAGGGTGCATGATGAGTTATAACAAACGATCTCTATCACTGCACTAAACTTGGGTTCTCCCTGTTTTCTCTGGCAAACAGAGTGTTTCCAAAATGCTCCTTATAGCCTGCAATGTCTGGCTTATAACTGGGAAAAAAATATCTATCTTACTCTTTTTTTTAGTCACACATGACCTATGGAGCTTAAAATTAGGCAGACAGAGAGAAATTAAAAGTACTCCTTAAATGTTTTAAAGATTATTAAAAATGGTATTGTTAAAAATGACACCCTAACTATGAGCTCAATGGTTGCTGAGGAGCCAGCCCCCAAACCAGCTCTCATTCCCAATTATACCATGCTTTAGTGAAATGAAGGTAGCAGAAGTATTTCTTATGACCCCAATATTTATGCACTATGGTGCAAACTGTCTTCTTTTGAAAATGCAGTAAGCAGTAAACACCTTAGGCCCATGATTTAAAACTTACAGCTTCTTACACCCATGCAAAAATAGTGTAATTTATCACCCTCCATGAATGACTGTCCATTGGGAATCAAAGCACGCCCAGGAAACACGCACAGGTTGTGTCACCCACCTTTCCATTTCCAAACCCTTTGCGAAGCTACCTGGGGCAAAGTTCAGCAATGTTTGTCACTATTTAACCACTAGCAGACAAGTCATAGAGCACTGAACTCATCAGAAGCCTTCAAAATTTTCAAACAATGCTCCAGCTGATTGCATAGTTGCTCATGGCACTGTTCTCCACTCTGTTCTCCACACTGTTCTTCCCCTCTGCTTGCAAACTTAACCATGTTGTCCACAGCCCCTTCTGGTGCTCCTGTGCTTTTTACCCACTGCTGGGCCACATTTGTGTCCCCAGTTTCAAACTCTTGATTAAAGTGCATTGAACTGCACCAGGGCTACCACTGAAGTGTTCTTGTTAGTCAGAAATGCTGATTAAATGCATCACTGTCTCTTTCTGTATCTCACCATGCAGTGGTGGGCACCCAGCCAGGTCCTTAGGACATTTGCTGTCTGGGACATTGAGAAAGACTTTTCTCTGATTTATAGCAAATTATTTGGGGGTGCAGGCTGGTGTGGTACCATTGGCAGCAGCTGAACCAACACACAATAGCACAGGATCTGATCAGGTCTGTTAAAAATAGTAAGCAGTGCAGAGCAAAATTCCACTATTTCAAGAGCTGCGTAAGGGAGGATACCACACACATACCAGGGAATGCCAGGCCATGTTTCAGTTGCATAATCTCGATGGGCTGTGCTTCCATGCAAACACTTTACTGCATTTGGATGTTTTTTTGCTATCTAATGGGCACTCATGGTGCTACCGTATGCCAGAGGCATGAGACTGTATGTGTAAACCCACTCCTGGTATTTTTACAGCAAGCAATCCGTAGATCTTACTATCTTTTTGACAATTCTACTACAAAGAAAACACATGATCCCTATGAGAGAATTGAGTGTTCACTTTGCATGTTGGATAGTAATCACACTGATTTTCATGGAGCAGTTCCTAAGCAGATTTACCCTAAAAATTGGGATCCAAGTGTTTCAGCAAGACAGAGAGGCAGACCAAAGCTAGAATTAAAGTGTCACAAACACTGTGTCTTACTCAGCACCTGACGAAATTCCCTAATTGCCATTTACACTTTTGGGGTGTATCAATATTTTTACATGGCTCAGTGTCTAAGGACACATTACCACGGCATAAACAATCAGCGTAATTACAGGAGCAGGTATTTTGCAACCAACACCACAGGTGGTAGACTTGGGTTTTTTACACAATGCAAAATGCATAAATTACAGGACACGCAAACAATTTATGGACCAAATGCTGCCCCTGGTGAGGCAATATGTGGCCAGAATTGACATTAGGAAAATTGGTGCACGTGTGTGCTGACTAATGCAATGGCCTCAGGCACTGGGTCTCAAAGGGTTGCCAACTGAAGGCTGGCTCTGCTGTTGCTGTGTAGTACAAACATACAGTATTAACTCTTGCTTCTTGCTTCCAGTTGTTATATTACCTGAAAATATATTCCTAAAGATACCTATCAGTGCAACTTCTCTGTCTTCCTCAAAGGCTGTGCTAGAACAGTCAGAAATACTCCCCAGTGGAGTGGGAAGCATATGGCTGCTCCCTCCCACTAGGTGCAGAGCATCCTTTGGTCTGTGCTTGAGGACAGGTGTGACATAAGGAGCATTTTGGAAGAAACTGGCAGTACCATGGCTCAGATTGTGGGCTCTTACGCTGGAAGTGGAAAGAAACTGGTCAGAGTTATGTCCTGGGGAAATCTGCTGAGCCTGGTTGCTGCCTTTGGCCAGGCGGGGAATGTCCTCACTGCCCTCAGAGCTGACACCTCTGTATGGAAAGATGAAAGAAGAAAGGAGCAGGAAAAATCCCAAGAAACTCATCATGTCTCAGGTGGGACAAACCTTTGTACCTGTGACAGCCCTTCTTCCCTCCCCTCAAACATGCCAATGCTGCTGAAACAAGGAACCCCCCAGCTGATGTTCACCCAGCTTGGGAAAAGTAGAGCCAGGGAATGACATTTTGTTTTGCCCCCTCCCTCCCTCCCTCACATTGCAAGCCTGGGATGTTGGGGCTGGAAGAACAGAGATCCAAAATAGGCCGGAACTTCCAGGGGTGGGATGAGTTGGAACTGATACTGGGGCTGACTGGTTGGTTGGACCTGGTGGTTAAATGACTTCATGTACATCTCAGCAGGCAGAGATTAGTTGGTATTCATCAGCAGCAATTTCAACACTACCTTGAATCACATGGAAAGGATTACCTTTTACTTCCTTTGGAATAAAACAAAATGCCTGGTGAGCCTAGCAAGGCATCCTAAGCCCAGATGCGCAGAGCTGGTGGTCCTTCTCTGGGTACCTCATGGTCATGGATATGATGGAGCACCTCCTGTCCACACCTCCCCGTCAGGTAGGAGACCACCACCCGTGCATTCACAATCTCAACAAAGCCCTCAATAAGATGGGCTCAAAGCATTCACTGAAGTTGCTCAAAGCAAGAAACTCAGTGCTCAGGGGCACCCCATCCCAGCAGTTCATCTTGGGCAGGGGTAGAGGAGGCTTCTCAGCCTCAGCAGGACAGCAGCCAGGCCACCTGTCCTCGGGTGTGCACACGTGGAGGGGTGCTGCTGCCTTGAGTGCAAGTACTTCATGTGGGTACATTTGGGATGTATGTCTGCAGCTGGAAGATTGACCTAAGTGAGACAGCAGTCAGATACCGGTGGCTATAAAGCTGAGATATTACAGGAAGGAAAACAACACTGTTGAAACCAGTAACTGAAAAAGAGTCAGAGAGGTTTGTGGATCATTCAAGGTCACCGTTAACTCCTCTGGAGAATGAGAAGTCTGGTTCTTGGCAAATTTGGAAATTCTGATTCTTAAGTGGCCTTCCACTGTTGCAGTGAGCTGTGCTATGATGGATATGGATATATCCTGATATCCATATCAGCTCTAGGATCCACAAAGGCAAGACGCAACCCCTGGGTGTGTTAGGGCATTTGGAGGGCAGTGAAGACCCAGGAACTGTGGCAGGATGCAACAGCCAGGTATGTTCTCCTGAGGCACTCCCACACTTGCCCCA